CTCTGCCTTTTGCTGATAGAGAATGAATTGGGTTACAAGCTTTAAATATTTTCTGAGAGGTTAAATTAATCAAGAGGAGATACCTAGAATCTTCTTCAAATACACCTATTACATTCACATTGTGAGAAGTAAAATCAAGCTGTGAAGTGATGGAACATTGCTGAAAAGTGAAATCTGCTGTGGAAGATGTGGTCTCTCCTTCCTGTTTTACTAGAGCAGAGCAAACTAAATAGCAGCTTCTTCAGTTGTTCTCTCTCAAGTTAACTCCTAAACATGGGATCCTGAAGCCATTGTTGGAAAAAATACTCATGCACCCCACAGAATTAGCCTGAATAATAGTCCTGTTGTCTTACATGTTACATGTTTTTCCTGGAGCTAAAATAATTGTTTAATACTACTGTATCTTTTCCTTAGCTATCCAGCATCAGATGAGCCAGAATATACAAAAATTCTGAAATGCCTTGCATCTTTCTAAGGCAATTTATGTGCCACACCACAACTAAGAAACAGGATGGAGAAAAATAGCAACTGCTCAGCCACTATCACCTTTTCTATGCTGCTAAAATGACTGCACTGATCTGAAACCAGCAGGCCCAGCTGCAAGGGGCCAGCTGGGGGTTCTAACCCACTTTGGCAAAGACACAACTCTCCATTTGGAACAACTCCTGCAGGGGTTTTTACAGCTTTGTCCACATTAAGGCAATGACAGACACTGCAGACCACTTCAAGCACCCATCTTCCCACGTTCTGCAGCTGGTTGGATTCCCTCATAGGAACCCCAGGAAAGCCTGTTAAAAGGTTTATATTCTCACTTGTTGAGTAGGGTGGCCCATTAGATCTCATGTATGCAAACCAATCCTGATTTTGTTTTATCAATCTGATAAATATATAAATCTGGATTCAAGACTTTGGAGGCTGAATGGAATAACTTAGGCTTGCACTTCCTTTTCTCATTTGTAGAAATACTTATGCGTTTGATTCAACATGGAGTCTGACAGGAGCTTACTTTGGTCTATCAAGTTTGGATGTTTTGAGCATTTACAGGCTCAGGATGAAAATTTGTATGTAACGAAGCTACACATTCCAGGACAGGTTGCTCCCCTTAGACTGAAATCACTGAGCCTTCTTTCTATGCTCATTTCACTAACTTGATGAGAAATAAAAAGACTAGTAAGACCATAGCTGTATTTATGGGATTTAAATGAACTAGGTGTTTTCCTTACATATTTATTCCATGCTCTTGATTTCAGAAGAAATAGCTTACCATAGAACTCTTCCCTGTTCTCTTTATTCCTGAAGAGAGACCTGACCTTTAAGTCTCCTTTATATGGACAGGACAACGTAAGGCAGAGATTATTCTTCCACCCTTGCTTGGGAGATGACACACAACAGCCACCGAAGTGACACCCTGAAGGGTCATTTTTGAAGTGGCTTCTAGGCTGAGAACAAAACAATCCTGAGATATCCTCTGCTTGTACTCAACAGGTCCCCTGCAGACAAGCAAAACTGCTCTTTTTTGACATGCCAGTATTCTTTGTAATTTAGCAACAAATAAAATGAGAGCATGGGCAAGTACCTCAGCTTTGTTCACTGCTTGACACTCCATAAAGGTGAGGAAGAGTGCAAGTCAGGGTTGTCTGAGCAAGTAGGAGAAAGATTTTTCAATCTGGGCAGCGGGAAAAACCTTGGCAGTTTGGTTATAGTGAAGTAGTTAGAACTGAACAAGAAATAGCTCTTTTTGTTGTCAATTTTGTTTGACACCACAAAAGAAGAGCCTGGACATACCTTGCTACAGCTGGGGTGACTGGAAAAGAAAATGAGAAATTTTCAGGAGTTGATGGACAGCTGTATTCCAGGCCAGTAACTGACAGGCCTCTGGTTTTACCTCCCTAGCTTGAGACAAGTCCCCACCACTTGTGAACATAGAAATTATTTGTAGTGATTTTGAAGCTTACTTTAGATCTTTTTAAAGAGCATATTTACATGTTTAATGACCTAAACTCACTGGCCCATGGCAAGCAAGGTGGGGGACAGTGTAGGACGGGAGGAACCTGTTGCCTTTTGCCAGTCTTTTGGAACTGTATATTCCACTCTATTCCAAGAGAGGGATCCAGCAGCAGCTGTGAGACTGTTGCAAGAATACCATAAAGAATCTAGAGACATCTGTAAAAGAATATTTACTATTTTTGCCTTTCTATATTAGCTAACAACCATTAGTCCAGCTCCTCAAGAACTTGTGCCACAAAATCTATCTGCAATTTTTTTCAGTAGTACTAGAATGTATTTACTAATCTGTACTTTTAAGAACTTTTACACAGTTATTTCCAGTATGTATTAGCACTGAAATTTGTTTATAAATGTTACTTCACCAAATGTTTTCTGAAAAGTATTTTTGGCATAGAAGGTCATGGTATGATCCTTTAACATTTTTACAGAAAAATCAGAATATCTTAATTTAAACAGTTTAGTAGCATTACACAAAATACTTTTAGCAGGCACAGGCTTAAGTATAAGTCCAGAATAGATTCTCTGCATAACACTTCTATTAATTTTAAAATTACTAGAAGGAAAAAAGTCAAGCTCCAAAATCCATGATTCTCTGTTCTGTCCTGGTCTCTTTGGTAAGCCCTTAAAATTCCCTTAGCTTTCAGAATAAAGCAGTTTTCTGCTTTGTGCCCAGTCCAAAAATTATCCTGCATGAGAAAGGAGTCAGACCGCCATTTCTGTTAACAGATAGTGGCATTTTTAGATCCATTCTTCCTTTCCCAACCTAATCAGGGGGTAGACTGAGCATGAGACCCACACGAACTTCTAGTACCAAATGTTCATATGACTTGAAACACTAGAGCAAAGGCTTTCAAAGTGTTACAAAAATAGCTTGATTAGTGAGCAGTTTTCAGCAACTTTTTGTTATATTTTTAGAAATAAATTACTATGCTAATAAATTACCAAAAACATCCATTGGGAAGAAGAGAGGAAGAATGCCTGAAAGACCTTAAGCATTGCGGAAGAAGAGCCAAGAGAAAATTTCACTACTCAGAAAGATTTCTGTATCTTCTCCAGAAATATCTAGCTGTTAGCTTCCCAAAATAACTCGTGTTTTTTACAAGTAAGGTGGATTGGTCTAAAATACTTCAGAATTCAGTCTTCAGGAGTGACAAAACATCAAAATCAACATTGTTTCACGGCCAGTCTGATTTTTGGATTTTAATTATTTTTTCCAAAAAAAGTTATTTTGCCAATTTTTATTTGCAATTGCATAGGAGCATCAATTTTTTCAGTTTCTGGGCAGCACAGCTAGCTGGTTTTAAGTAAACTAACTAAAAATTATATCTAATTTAAAAAAAAAAAACAAAATCAAGATAATCAGCTGTATTGCAGCATTCAGAGTGAAGCCATCACCGTATTTAAAACCCATGACAAACTGTGCCAAGTTTTCTTATTTCCACAAAGTTTCAAAATCTTGAAGTTGTTCTAAAAACTGATATAAATATTGCACAACAAATCTGTTTCATACGTTTAAATAAATGAATATATTTTTATGCTTACTGAACTTACAAGAGAAGCATAACCACTGAAATTAAGTTCTGTGGTGACATTTAAAATCATACTAGATTTAGACTGCTTCAGTTACCCTGGACACTGCCATTATTTAGAGAGATAAAAGGGAAAAGCCACGAAAAATTCAAAAAGTTCAGAAAGTATTTATGTCCATGTATATCAGGAATAAGTCATATTTCACACCAAAAGTAGCCACTCACAAAAAAAAGCCAAGCAAGAGAGGTCAGATTTTCATTTTGGCTCACCAAGTTACACTGATGCTGTAATTATTTTGATAAATCTAGATTTCTCTTTTCCTCTCATTTCTGTAAACCAAAACTATAGTCTTAATTTACATTGAGTAACAGCTTTTACTGATGTGATAGTACCTATTACTAAGAGAAAAGATTCAGGAAACAAGCAGCAGGTTATAGAATCAAAAGAGGGAATGAGAGAATATGATCTAAAAAACCGTACTGAGTATAACTGCCCTTCCTAAAGAAACATTTTCTTTTAATGCAAAGTACAACTAATTTTTAAAATTTAAGGGGTTATTGGAAAATGAAATGTTATATAGAGGATAATAATGGTAACACTGGTATACAAAACAGGAATATAGTTGGAGCATGAAAAGCAAACACTAAGTGACAGAATGCAGTTTCAAAATCCAGCAAGATAACAGAGAATTCATAATGCATTTGCAATATATTAATACAAAATCATCTGCAACACACCTGTCAAATATATACTCTTCGATTCTATGTTGAAATAGATAATTAAATCCTTGTTGCAGTAAAATAGAAACTTCACTGTTTGCAGAACTAACAGAAGTCAAGCCCTTTGCATTTGCCTGCCCAGAGCAATAGCATTTTTGTCAGAAGAACCAGTAATGATCTTGAGTTACGCACAAAAGCGAGCTCTGTTAGGGCAACGGACAAAGGCAAATGACTGCAAAGAAAAGAGGACTCAACTTCAATTTAACTGTCCTGTAAGGTACATACTAATTAGCTGCAAAGCTATGAAATCCTAGCTAGCATGTTAAGTCTGCTACATGACAGTATAATTTGACTTCTTAAAGGATTATGCAAATTACAACTCATCATTCCATTACATGACTGAAAAAAAGTGACAGCTAATTTATACATAACACACCTTTCAAATCCCTAAGATGTGAAGCACCTGTGCAATACATTTTGCCTAGATTTTCTAGCGTGTACACTCTTGTTTATTGCACTGTACAGAAGCATACCTAAGATATTTAGAAAAGTCTTAGGGTTTTTTATTTGATTTTAGCTTTTAGAGCACAATCCCAAAGAATTAAACAACATACTTCTGTCCCTGCCGTAGAGGTTTTGCACACAAGTGTACAGTTTCAACACACGTGTAATTTCGGAATAGCAGGAGAGCACGAGCACTAAATGCACGAGCTAGAGGCAAGACTCACACAGATTTCAACATACTTCTGGTAGGTAGATTCACAGTAGATTCCGTCATATCGGTAGATTTTCCTACATTCTGATTGGTTGGGCAGAGGATGCTGGACAGTTATTCTGTAGAGGCATCAAAAACAGATAGACATGACTAGAGGATCTCTACAGGTAACTGTAATGCAGGACAAATCAGTATGTTGAAATTGATTTATTAAAATTTATTTTTAAATTAAATGCCTTTCTTATCTCTTTAAATCAACTGCCTTGTGCACATAACACCCACAATTTCCACTTTTCAAAATTTGCACTGAGAGTAAACTAAACTTCAATTCTCCACAATAATGGTGCTTTTTCCCCATCAAATAAAAGTGGAAGAGGTATGGAATTTTATAAATTGATATTTCACATAGTTTGTATATATATATATATATATATATATATATCGTAGTGCTTATACAATTGATTATTTACTGTTTACTGTTGCAATCCTTCTTCAGGCAGAACATTCATTTATGTCAGCTGGGAGTTTGTCCAGACAAAGACCAAATAACCCTCCAATTTAAAATGTCAACAGCAATTCTCACATTTGCACAGAATGAGGATGTTGTGGTATTATGAGGACTGTGATTGAAGGTGCTCAGCACCATCTGAATAATGCCATATGTTCTCGGATCGACTGAAAGAAAATGAAAGTGATTGGCAGCAATCAGGAGGTGCGCAGCATCTTGTAAAATCAGGCCCTAAAAGATTTGTCAATCATTCTCTTATTCATCCCTCCCCAGCTCCCCGTTAGCAGAAAATATAATTTGGCTATAAAAATTCAATGTTGTTTTTAAAATATACTTGGGAATTGCACACAAAAGAGTACCCACCAATTTTCTTTTTTCTCCTCCCTCTTCTCTAGAATAAAAACACATTTTAGATGCTTTTGTATCTTCTACAAATTAATACCTTTTTTCATTGTAATTTAATGGTATTTCACTAAAGTAAGGACAAATTATTTGAGAAATTTTACAGGTTTTTCAAACGCAGAATTTTAAGCTGTGATTTTTTAAAAATAAATATTCTACTGAGTAGAGAATTATTTTATGTTATCATTATTTTTATAGTATTAACATCTACATAGCTCTGAGCTAATCTTGGTTTTTAAAATTGTTTCAACAGTAATTTGAGACTGCAGGTTTGAGAAAAAAATCAGTATTGTCCAGCTACAAGCTCTATGAGCAAACGGAAAGTTATCTATTGTGGAAACTGAGGACCTTCCTCAATAAAACTTCACCTACAGCGTGTCAAGTGCAAACAATTTCATGTCTGCACAGCCCTGGTTCCTCACTCATTTAAGGTAGAAACCTGATAAACCATACGAGGAAATTTAAGTATCTTAAAATGGGATTTGAAACACAAGTGCTACCTGCAGGTAATCATGTCAGCTAGTACAAGGGATCTAGGAGAGTTTCCTCTATGTTGTGTGTGCCTGAGAGACACAAACCCTTCACTTTGGGTCATACAGAAATGCCTACATCCAAGAAAATTCAAGTTTCAAAATCTTCAGCACACCATCACACTAGCTGACAGAATCCCCAGATTTAACTCCCTGTGCCATTTTTTTGTTTTGGGGTTTTTTGTTTGTTTTTTGCTTTGTGATACAAGGCTAGAAGAAATGCCTGTATTTACATGGCTTCAGTAACAACACGGGAGAACAAGTCTCTCAATGCCTCTCAGCCAGCGGAGTCTCAAACACATCTTCCACTGCTCCAAAGATTACCACTGACTCCTAAAATGAGGGACTTTAACTCCTCCTGCTAAAACAACAGCCCTATTAAAGAAAAATATCAGGATTCATTGGATGAAACAAAGTGAGACAGTGAGAGCATGTTGCATTACGAGTAATTCAAAAATGCATAAGCAATCCTTCCAAAAACTATCAGAATCCTTCCCAGATGAGTGCTCTTATCACATGCCTTCAGAATTATGCTCTTTCTTCCAAACACTTCTTTGGCCAAATGAGTCTGGAATAGTAATACTGGTTATTGCTATTACTTGAGTAGTTATACAAGTAGCAGAATACAGCTCACTCCAGAAAACCTTTATTTTGAAGTGGTTATAGTATTCTTCTGGGAAGTGAAAGATGCGGATTTGAACACCCTTGTGATTAAATAGGTCCTAAATAAGTATTCACTGTACCAAGCTTGTATAGCATACTTGTCAGCCAGTTTTTGGTTTGCTGGTTTGTTTTTTGCTCTTTTTTTTTCAGTTGACAGGGAAATTGAAACACAGGAGGTTCCATCTGAACATCAGGGAAGATTTTTTTTTTTGTTTACTGTAGGAGTGATGGAGAACTGGGACAAAGAGGTTGTGGAGCATCCATCAAGGAGAGAGTCAACACTAGGACATGATGCTGGGCAAGCAGGTCCAGTTAACTGTTTGTGCAACCCAAAGGGATTGGGCAAAAGATCCTTTCCATCCTCAGCCATTCTGTTATTCAAGGCCAGATCAGAGGATGAGAGATTTGGACTGTGAACCACAACCCTGCTTTACATCTAGTCAGAATTAGGTTGGAACTTTTTTGGAGAATGGGAAGCATTAAGGTGGAGGGGGGAGTGGGTGTTGCTTTTTTTTTTTTTTTTTTAATTAAGCTATATATAAGGCTCTATAAACATCATGGCAGCTACTGTGGGTTGTGGTCCAAGCCTTCCTTTGCATTGCATAGAGCTAGATTTCACTTCAGAAGCCAAGACCCTAGGAACTTTTTTGGACCCAGCCAATTACCCAGTGCTCCCTAAAATTTTTCTTTAATGAGTTATTTACTCTCACCTATTCCCTCTCAGATGAAACAGTAATAATAATAATAGGAAAAATAAAAAAATCATATCCTCAAACACCAAGCTAAATAAGACATCAATGTAAATCTCTTAAACTCCCATTGACTTCATCAAGATTGCATAGCATCTAAGTTAGCACAGAACGGGGCTTATTGTGCTTAACCTGAGAAATCAAACAGTCCTGAGACACTTCAAAATGCACATCAGATTCCTGACTGCAACCTACACCAGTGCTTTGGGGGAAAAAATTCTTTTATTTTATTGTATAATATTTGTCTCTTAGTGTTAAGGTTTATTTTAGCATTGTATGCCTATTTCCATTTTATGCTGAATAAAAACTATGGTTTTATTTTACATAGTTAAAATCTGCCAAACACCATCACATGCATTTGCCCTCTGCCCCAAGTATTTTAGCTGTCATTTAATAGATTTACACTTACAATTAATGATCATCTGGTAACTATGAGGCGCTATGGGTCAGAAATTAAAACTTCCTTACAGAACAGCTTATTCAGCATTTGTTACTGAAACAAACTAATAAAACTAAAAAAAAAAAAAAAAAAACACAACACCAAAAAAAGTTACCAAGACAATCAGTCTTGGTCATGGGGTACTTTTTCCTCTCTCTAAAAAAAATAATTTTAGACAATCTTCACCAAATTAATTTTTTTCACTTTTTTACCACATTATGCCAGCAGATAAACTCTCAGGTTCCACTTATAAAATTGATTTAGCTGAAGATAAAACTGTATATTGGCTATTTATTCTAGGTACTGTATATTCTTGTTCTATTTTATGCTTTGAAATTGATTTTTTGTATGTTTCTCTCTGTTAAAAATTAGGGCACTGAAGAGTATTTGAGTCTGATCAACTTGCAGTGGTTAGCTCACCCCAGTTTTAGTTAAATTTTGACTGATTTAAGAGGCAAACTTCTATCCTCATGTAAGCTGTTTGACAGTAAAAGTTACCATTTCATAATAATAAAGGCAAAAATGAGCTTTAGATTATAACTATCTACCTCTGTATTGCAGGTTATTTTCCAAAAAAGCCAGAAACATGCCAGACAAAATGCCTACAAACACTGCATGAAGCATGATATTTCACTTAATATTTGTCTCCACTATTCCTTAGGGGGTGTGCTGTAAGATGATGATGCTGGGTGCACTCTCACACCTGACCTTGGTTTTTAGACACTGCACACTTTCCCCAAAAAGTTTAAAAGTATCACCTCAGATGTGAAAGGATTACAAACTGCTGTGTTTGCACATTAGACAGCTCATCTTCGTTTCTTTATGTGTCACTAAACTCTAGATGGATTCATCATAAAACTTGAGGTGGAACTTAAGTGCATTTACATACATGTGAAATGTGTAAGCTATGACTAATTTTAACTCACAGGGCAGAATTTAAATAATTAGTTACAAGAAGTCAAACTAAGGGAAAAAAGGAGGAAAGAGATGGTTAGAGGCAGAGTAGTAAATTGTTCCATTTTTGCAGGTAATCTAAATGCAAACTAGAAGCAACTTATCATGAGAATGGATTTTCCACCATCTGGTCAAATAACAGGGGATTTGTCTAGTGGCAAGCAAAGAATGGAATGATGTGAGAAAGATTAGCGGGCAAGTCCTACAGTTGGCTAAAATGTATTTTGTGCAAACAAGAACAGATGACGCCTTAACAATTACACCTGTCAAAAACTCCAGAAAGCAATCCATCTCTGAACAGCCCAGTTGAAAACAGGCTAGTTCATAACAAAATGAATTTTTTTAAACAATTGCCAGCCATAACAGTTTGATGCATGACAAGCTTAGGAAGTTGCGTTCCACGTACAACTGAAACCTTAACTAACTGGACCCTGGTTTTCTCTGATAAGTAAGGCATTAAACTACATTTAAAAAGAAATCTTAAGTGAAACAATGCAAATAGCTAATAACCTTGGAAAGCTAGAAAATTCAGAGTTAAGCCTGACATATAGACTCTGTAAATTTCCAGTATATTCTATATGAATTGGTCCAAGAAGGGGTTTTGAAGAATGGCCTCTTTTGTGGGAGTCAAAAATACCAGATAGTATCTGGACTGGCATGCCTTGCATATAACCCAGACAGTTCCTAGAATTAAAGGTCTTTCTAAATATAGATGTGAAGCCTTAAAATTACTACCCTATATATATATCCTGCCAGAAGGCAGAATTCTAATAATGTTTTCTGTAGAGATATGATTTCTTTCTTCAGAAAAGATATAATCTCAAGGTGCAACAATATTTTACACCAATTCCAAGGTGATTTTCTTTAAAATTAA